AGACTTGCCTTTCGCTTTTCCCTGTTCGATATCCCGTTCCTGAAGCGCACGCTGCTGCCGCGACTGCTCGTACTGGTCGCGAGCTACACTGACCAATTCCTGGCGCTCAGGCTCCGTGAGAACGTAGCGCATGTCGTCGATGTTCTTGCTCAGCAGAAAGTCATGTCGAAGCTTAAGGACAGAGAGAATGGCTCGGCCAGTCTCCTCCTGAGACGCAAAGGCCGTGTCATATTCCGAGCCAGGCTGAGGAGCGCCAGCTGGATCAGTGTCCGCTGGCTCCGTGGACTTCCTCTTTTTGAAAAGCAAGGGACTGAGATGATGGAGGACTTTCGGATCGTACTCCTCGTCGTACCTGTCGTCCCAAAGCTTCCTCAGCTCCCTGTGCAAGTCGTCCGCGCGATTCTGAACGACATCCTCGACGCAGTCGGGATCGCCCGGTGAAGTCGGTGAAAGCGGAGGAGCAGAACTCGGCGACCGATCCCAATGCACAGAAGACTCGCGGTCCGCCTGTACGCTGACGTCGGCGTCGGAGACGTTTTCGACGACAATTTTCCGCCTCTTGCTCTCCCCAGGCTGAATTGCACCAGGGAGAGTGAGCACAACCGCCACCGCATCGTGTGCGTCGTTGCGCATGCCACGATCCGTAAAAAGACGCGCCAACGGCAATGGAGCAGAAACGGGCGACTGCTCCGGGTAGAGGCGCTACCCACTGGGGGATGTCTTCGGTCTGGCGCGGGTGTGTTGCGCTGGGGGGAGTGAGGGGGTATCACACACACGCGTCTAGTATATCGTATTAGTAAGTCGGCTTCGCTCGCAGCCGGTCAGGCACACCCCTACCCTCCCCACCACCGATCCCATACCAACCCCGCCGGACCCTCTAACCAAGTGGAGAGCCACAGGAAGCACAATCCGGCACGACGGCACAGACGAGGGACGTGGTCAGCCTTGAGGTTCGGCCGAGTGGCATGGACCTCCCATACCTCTCGTTTTTTTCTTATCTTGGTTTTCCCGCTAGCGTTCTGCTCGCGCTGGTAAGCCTCCCGCGCCTCCTGGAACGTGAGGTTGTCGTCGCCGACTACAAGCACAACGACTGCCTCGTTTAGATTCTCAAGAATCTTGGCCAGGCCGTCCAGGTGCAAGCGGAGATGGCGAACTGTCCGCTTTCGAGTCTGGATGCTCGGCGGTTTCTTGCCGCACACGACGTGCATGTTGGCGATCACCACGTGGAACTTGTCATGGCCTGGTTTGTTCACCTCAAAATGTGAAATAACAGCATCAATATCTCGGCCGCTAGGAGGCCTGTAAACTTTGCTGTCTTCGCACAGAGTCAGTTCCGCAGGATGAGAAGCACCGCGGAACCCCCAGAGAGTCAAGTAGTTGTCGACCTCCAAGAAGCGAATGCCATCACCGAAAGGCTTACTGAGGATCTCTGTCACGTTGATCCCTGCTCGGCGAAAGCCTTCACGGAACGCACCGACCTCGCAGCCACAGACCATATCAGCATCAGCGGTCTCCACTATCTTGGCGCACACCCTTCCGAAGTTAGCGCAGTGAGTGGCCGCCTGCTTACCAGTCATCATGCCCTGCTCGAACCCGAAATTGAACGAGGCGACCGTGAAAGACGCAGGCTGCACAGCGCCAGAACCAGGCGTCTGTCCACCTTCCTCCGCAGGCTGAGAAGCACCGCGAGGCGGCGCAGGCTGAGAAGCACCGCGAGGCGGCGACACTTCGGACGAGCCTCGCGGAGCGGAGGCTGCGGATGAACGTTGGACATGGGGGTACGGCCAGGGGAACGCCATTGCAATCAAAACTCAGTGGACTGCAGTGAATGAATGTAGTGGCCAATTGAATGCATAGGACTGCAGTGTCACTAGCAAGTCCTGAACCAAACACAGCTGTGGCGGAAGGAATATGAAGCGTCTGGCTATTCAAAATGTTGCCCGGCAATGTCCTCCTCCTCCTCCTCCTCCTCCTCCTCGTCCTCCTCCTCCTCTTCCTCCTCCTCCTCCTCCTCCTCCTCCTCCTCCTCCTCCTGGTAGTCCCCCCCCTCCCCTCCTCCTCCTGGTAGCCCAGGAATGGGAGTTTTGGGAACTCGAAGAGCACGAAGTGGCCTACAGTTGGCTCCGGGCATTCAAAATGTGGCCCGGGAATGGAGTTCTGGGAACTCGAAGAGCACGAAGTGGCCTACAGTTGGCTCCGGGCATTCAAAATGTGGCCCGGAAATGGAGTTCTGGGAACTCGAAGAGCACGAAGTGGCCTACAGTTGGCTCCGGGCATTCAAAATGTGGCCCGGGAATGGAGTTCTGGGAAATGGAAGAGCACGAAGTGGCCTACAGTTGGATCCGGCCCCCCAGAATGTGGCCCGGGAATGGCGTTCTGGGATGTCGAAGAGCACGAAGTGGCCTACAGTTGCATCCGGCCCCCCAGAATGTGGCCTGGGAATGAAGTTCTGGGAAGGCGAAGAGCACGAAGTGTGTGACTGTTGGTGAAAAACGAGCCCGGCTCATGCCGCCCGGAAACGCCCCAACACCTGCCCGGACCCCCCTGTGGAGTGATCTGTGAGCTCTTTTGAGTCAACTAGAAACCTATCAGTCTTCGCTGTTAGGTAATATCTCAGTCTACGATCTAGCGGCAAAAGTTCAGCGGCAAAAGTGGCAGCACTTCGTTTTCAATACGCACTGGCACAAGGCACGCAAGTTTCAACAGCAGTGGCGCGACATTATGCGCGGGCATCTACACAACATTCCAAAGGGGCCCACAAGATAGGGGCAGAGACGGACCACTGAAGAGTCCCACAAGGAGACAGGGAGCCCGAGACAGCCAAGTCTGGCACCTGTCTGGCGGCGGTTTAGCCTGAGACCCTCTCACAATGAGTTCAGGAATCGTGTTATCGCCTCAACGCTGGTTACATGTTTGGTCCAGATAGCCACGATCCATTAAAAATTATCCCGGCAAAGCAACCTAACAGCGATGTGTAGAAGCATATCTGAAAGCATTCCCCTTAAGATTCAGATGAAAATCCAGTTGTCGAATTCTGCTGTTCTCGCAGTCGTAGTCGCATTCGCGATGACAGTCGCATCGGCAACGGCAGTCGCAGTCACAGCCTCAGCCTCAGCCTGCCTCCTCCTCCTCCTCCTCTTTCTCCTGCTCTTCCTCCTCCTCCTCCTCCTCCTCCTCTTCCTACATGGTCGTCCGTTCTCGTCCTCCTCGTCTTGCTCGTCCTCCTCACTCCTCCTTTAGTGCTCTTCCTCATCCTCCTCCTCCTCCTCCTCCTCCTCCTCCTCCTCCTCCTCCTGGTGGTCCTCGTTCTCCTCCTCCTGGTGCTCTCCCCCCCCCCTCCTCCTCCTCGTCCTCCTCCTCCTCCTCCTCCTCGTCCTCCTCCTCCTCTTCCTCCTCCTCCTCCTCCTCCTCCTCCTCGTCCTCCTCCTCCTGGTAGTCCTCCCCCTCCCCTCCTCCTCCTCCTCCTCCTCTTCATGGTCGCCTCGTTCTCGTCCTCCTCGTCTGCTCGTCCTCTCCTCCTGGTGTTCTCTCCTCCTCTCCTCCTCCTCCTCCTCCTCCTCCTCCTCCTCCTCATCCCCTCCTCCTCATCCTCCTCCTCCTGGTGGTCCTCGTTCTCCTCCTCCTGGTACTCTCCCCCCCCCTCCTCCTCCTCCTCCTCGTCCTCGTCCTCCTCTTCCTCCTCCTCCTCTTCCTCCTCCTCCTCCTCCTCCTCCTCCTCCTCCTGGTACTCCTCCCCCTCCTCCTCCTCCTCCTCCTCCTCTTCCTGGTCGTCCTCCTCCTCCTGGTCGTCCTCCTCCTCCTGCTCGTCCTCCTCCTCCTCCTGCTCGTCCTTCTTCTCCTGCTCATCCTGCTCCTCGTCCTGCTCCTGCTCGTCCTCGTCCTCCTGGTCTTGCTCGTCCTCCTCCTCGTCGTGCTCTTGCCCCTGCTGAAAATGTGGCCCAGGAATGGGAGTTCTGGGAAGTCGAAGAGCACGAAGTTGCCTACAGTTGGCTACGGGCATTCAAAATGTGGCCCGGGAATGGAGTTCTGGGAACTCGAAGAGCACGAAGTGGCCTACAGTTGGCTCCGGGCATTCAAAATGTGGCCCGGGAATGGAGTTCTGGGAACTCGAAGAGCACGAAGTGGCCTACAGTTGGCTCCGGGCATCCAAAATGTGGCCCGGGAATGGAGTTCTGGGAACTCGAAGAGCACGAAGTGGCCTACAGTTGGCTCCGGGCATTCAAAATGTGGCCCGGGAATGGAGTTCTGGGAACTCGAAGAGCACGAAGTGGCCTACAGTTGGCTCCGGGCATCCAAAATGTGGCCCGGGAATGGAGTTCTGGGAACTCGAAGAGCACGAAGTGTGTGACTGTTGCATCCGGCCCCCCAGAATGTGGCCCGGGAATGACGTTCTGGGATGTCGAAGAGCACTTTGTGTGTGACTGTTGCATCCGGCCCCCCAGAATGTGGCCTGGGAATGGAGTTCTGGGAAGGCGAAGAGCACGAAGTGTGTGACTGTTGGTGAAAAACGAGCCCGGCTCATGCCGCCCGGAAACGCCCCAACACCTGCCCGGACCCCCCTGTGGAGTGATCTGTGAGCTCTTTTGAGACCACTAGAAACCTATCAGTCTTCGCTGTTAGGTAAAAACACTAAGGTGCACATGGCGGTGCTCTCACACCTGTCCCGGCTGCATCTTGTTCCCTCACGCAGGAGTAACCACCCTACCACCCTACCGCACTTCGTGCGTGTCCGAGGAATCCCTGGGAATACATAGGACTGCAAGTTTTCACTAGCCGACCTCCTACTCCTCGACACGCCTATTCGTCTTTACTGCTGTTGGGGCGCTTTGCTGGAGCAGTGCTCTTCTGAGTTTGCCTCCGATATCCCTGCCCACGTAATCAAGGCGATGGCGATACACATGCTCCTTGCTCATCAATCTTGCTGATGCTGAGCTGCTGCCGATACTGCTGCGCCCTGCTGATGCCCCCCCATCCCCGATGGAAACAAAAGAAGGGCACGCCTGTCGATGTCGGGGTCGACGAAGTCGATCACGTTCTTGCCATCCTGCGGGACGCCGGTCAAGAGCCGCGGGGGGAAAGAGGGGAGAGAGAGGAGAGGAGGAGGGAGAAGAAAAGGGGGAGGGGAGAGGAAAAGGGAGAGAGGAGAGGAAAAGGGAGAGGAGAGAGGACAGGGGGAGAGGAAGGGAGAGGAGAGGGGGAGGGCGAGGAGAAGGGAGAGAGGAGAGGGGAGGGAGGGAGAGGAAGGGAAGGAGGGAAGGGAGGGGGCAGGTAGAGGGGAGAGGGGCGCAGTTGGGAGGGGAAGAGCGGGAAGCGAGGAGGGGAGCAGGCTCGTGTCGTGACGACCCTGGCGTTGGTTTCTGACACCGATCGTTCAACCTCGAACGATCGGCGGCTTCCCGATCGTTCCATGTAGGCCGATTCTGAGTCACTGGCGCCGTTCAACCTTGAACGCCCGCGGCGGGGTCGCCGCCGGGTGACACGACGCGAACCTACCGTAGGGGTAGGGTTAGGTCGGGCGTGTCCCCCTACAGGCGGATTTTGGGCGAAAAACAAAACATATTCAAAAAATATTCCACAATAGTAAAAAAAAATGCTAAAACAGATCGTCCCAAGACTATTTGAACAATCCTCCTGTAGAGGGACATGCCCAAGATAGGGCACAGGGGCAAGCGGGGGAGGGGGAATGCGAGGTCAGAACCTGCAGACAGCAACCGCCTGGGGAGCTGGTGAACCCCAAACCCCCGGAGGCAGTGGAGATTGGGGACATATTCGGGCCCCCCTGGGGCCCCAGGATATTCATATCCACTGCCGCATCCGCCTTCCTCCCCCTTCTTCAGGACACAGCGCACACACACACACACACACACACACACACCGCGTCGAACTGGTAGCAGGCGCGCACCGCGTCGAACCAGTAGCAGCCGGCGACCACGGGCCAGCTCAGCTACGCCGCCAACGACGACGAACGACGACGGATGGACGACGGACGACGGACGACGGACGACGGACGACGGACGACGGACGACGGACGACGGACGACGACGACGACGACGACGACGACGACGACGACGACGACGACGACGACGACGACGACGACGACGACGACGACGACGACGACGACGACGACTACGGACGACGGACGACGGACAACGACGGCGACGACGACGACGATTACTACGACTACGACGACGACGACGACTACGACGACGACGACGACGACTACGACGACGACGGCGGCGACGACGACGACGACGGGCGACGGGCGACGGGCGACGGGCTACGACACGGGCGACAACGACAACGGGTGACAACGGGCGAAAGCACGGGGGAAATGGGGCGGCTTTCTGGCGCCGGGGGAGAGAATGGAAGGGAGGGAGGGGGAGGAGGGAAGGAGGAGGAAGAAGAAAAAGACACGGGGGCGCAGTGGGGAAGGGGAGAAGGGGAAGGGAGAACGGGAAGGGAGAAGGGGAGGGGGTGACAGGGGCAGAGAGGGAAGCGGTGGCGGTCCATGATCTCGGGAACGACGTCGTACTTCCAGCTGTCGTCCTGGGGATCAGCCGCGCAAGCGATGCATCCGGAGGCCCGGAACCCTCCAGGTGCAGCGGGCCTCCTTCCTGCGCCCTGCCCTCCCGCCTCCCTCCATCACAAGACCCCCGGCGATTCGAGCACGTCGCGCCGAATGTGTTTCGCCTTTTTCAGCCTCTGGGGGCGTCCACGTTCCTCTTCCTCCTCCTCCTCTTCCTCCTCCTCCTCCTCGTCCTCCTCCTCCTCCTCTTCCTCCTCCTCCTCCTCTTCCTCCTCTTCCTCCTCCTCTTCCTCCTCCCCCTCCTCCGCCTCCTCATCTTCCTGCACTTCGTCCTTCACATCCTCCTGCTGTTCCTCGAACCTATGCATATCCTCATATGTATGTTCGTCTTTTGTGTGGCGATTGGAATTGCGTGACGGTTGAACACGGTCCTCCAGCATATATCCCAAATCAAGCGTTCCCTTCTCGAGGGTCTTGTTGACGGATGGTCCGTTGGCGACGCCATGCGGCATGGATACATTGTTTCGTTCAGGAGATGTAAAAGATGGGAGATGAAACGCGCGCGCCAAAGAGGACGCGCGCACCCTTTTTCCAGCGCAGGCGCGACGCGCTTGATCCTCACAGGTTAATCAAACTAACTACTTGAACTTGAGTCCAATGCGCGGAAGCGCGCGCGTCGGCTAGCGCAAAAAAACAAAAACCAAAAACAAAAAAAACAAAACAACGGAGGGAGCGATGGTAACGACTTCCCCCACGGCGGGTTCTGGAGCCACCTCACCCCCACGTGCCAGCCTTTAACACACACCTCGTCAGGGCGCGCCAACCCCAAAACAGGTTTACGGCGCAGCCCGTTCGACTAGCACCTACTCGTGCTGCAGAGGTGACGGTTCGGTTGATCGACGAACCCTAATTTCAATCGAAAGATATGCGGGACACCTGGCGCTGTTCGCTCAGCCAAAGCTGTCCTTTTTCCGCAGTGCGCTTCGACCTCGTTCACTTTGAGCTCCTCTGTTAGCTTCCACTCCTATTCGTATTCCACGCGCTTCCAGACCATGGACTCGACCGCGGACCCCACGTTCATGCATTACAATGATCCTGCCATTGATGATTGGTCGACCATCCGCCAAACTTTCCACTGTCCCACCAGGTACTCGAACCACCCGGCGAGATCCTCAGGCATCGATGTCGCCATTGACACCCGCACACGATTGGCCTCTGCCCGCTCCTCTTCCTTGCTCGCACACTGTTTAAAAAAGGACGTAGTGCGCCTCAGATTGCGTCTTAGGAACCCAATGTACCACAACAGCGGCCCCCACGCAATCTCGCGATCTCACGCGGGACTTCCTCCCAAATTATCCAGGAATCGCGTTGTCGCGCAGCGTTCCCTCGCAATTTTGTGCGGCGCCGCGCCCAAAACATTCAGAAATCATACGCTCGCCCTGGATTCCCTCACGACTTGGGAATCGCGCTATCGCTCTAGACGCTTCAGCGACCCGCCCGCTCGACTCGGCCGTCTGGGCCCGCCCGCCCGACATGCCCGTTTAAGGTCCGCCCACCTGACATGCCCGCCCTGTTCTGCCGCTGATACTCCTGCTCCTAAGACCGCCTGCACATCTGCCTCGCGCCCCATCCCCCTGCCTCCCTTCCCGTGTGTCAAGGGCCGCGTCAACTACACGCGGCCTGCAAGGGAGGTGTACCACCAAGGGGGGCGATCGAAGACGACGAGGGCGGGCATCGAGGTTTCGGAAGATACCTGGTGAATGGCACACGCGCGCATACGAAAACGAGCAATAAGCAAATACAGCTGTGGATAAGAAGGATAACGACGATGAGTGTGAAAGCTGTGATGGTAATGGTGATGATGATGGCAGTGGTAATGATGGTGGTGATGGTGGTGATGATGGTGACGATGGTGATGATGGATGATGATGATGATGATGATGATGATGATGATGATGATGATGATGATGATGATGATGATGATGATGGTGGTGGTGGTGGTGGTGATGATGATGATGATGATGGCAATGGCGCAGATGATGATGATGATAATAATCATGATGACGATGACAATGATGGCGAAGATGACGATGATGAGTTTGACGATAATGATCACCATACTAATAATAATAATCAGAGCGTTGATGCTTATAATGATGATGATGATGATGATGATGATGATGATGATGATGATGATGATGATGATGATGATGATGATGATGCCGGCGACGACGATGATGATGATGATCATGATGATCATGATGATGATGATGATGGCGATGATGATGATGATGATGATGATGATGATGATGATGATGATGATGATGATGATGATGATGATGATGATGATGCTGCTGCTGATGATGATGATGATGATGATGATGATTGTCGAACTCTGCTGGGAGCCCACGGTTGGCTCCTGGGCAACTGGCGGGTGGACAGCCGCTTCTGCGCTGCGGCGCTGGCACGGGCGCACACCAGAGGCCCGGCGCAGTCTGGCCCCCACCTGTCCTGGAAGCGCAAAAACTTGAAGGCGGCAAAACGAAGACCTCGCATAAGGAACAAACTATGTCGAGAGTCGGCGCAGCGGGAGGACGCGCACAACATGCGATCGGAGAGGCCCACGCCACTGAAACAGGCAGGCAGGTGAGGCACAAGGAGTGGGCAACAATCTCAGCGACACAGGACATGAAATAATTCTGGACAGCGTCGCCTCCGACCGCGTAACATCCGAACTTGCAGGCAAGGCGACCCCACCCAAACCTGGCCGCGGCCGCCCGCAAATAGCTGACTGTTCTTTACTCGCAAGCAAAAGGAGCGACCTCGGCACGACAAATCCAAAGCCTGGAAACCACAAGGTCAACACCACCGACACGACTCAGGGGAAACTCGCGAAGCACTCTTGGGGCAATCAACTTATGAGCCGCCCTTCCTGGATATACAGCATAGAGCTGTTTCAGGACGCCACGCTGCAATTCGCGGGTGTCCTCGTCAAATGCGCGCCAGGGCATCGCGGACAAGCTCCTGGAATGTTCGATCAGATGGGGGGCCATGGAACTGTCTCTCCATTCCGTGTATCTGGCCAGTGCTAACACATTCTAATCCTCATGGATCAACTTGTGGAACCTCGCCTGGATGCCACCGAGCACTTGGGAGCGGACGGCGACGCGGAACAGGTCAGCACAAGCACTTCCGGCCACGAAACAGGTCAGCGGGGATGCGTCGGCACGCCGCGAGAACCCGAAGCCCACGCGCCCCCGTCCAAAGGACACCTTTTGCAGGGGCACACAAGTGCATCACGAAAGTGAGCACGGAGAGCGCGAGCGAGATGCGCGCGCACACTTTCAGCCAGCCCAAAACACAACAACCGAACGCGACGAACACGGCACATATACTTCCGAGCGGGCTCCTCCCAGGTCCTCAAATATCCTCCAGACCCAAGGTGCACCCCCAAGAACCTCGCGAGCGGCGGCGCGTCGAAGCGACCGAACGCGCGTCTTGGCGGCACGGAACAGGGCGGCAATTTCGTCGCCATACATCTTCTACATGCGCACGGTTTCACACTCGTCTAATTTCAAGAGCAGACCAGCGCAATGCTCAGGGATCTTCTGACCCGGGTCAATCCAAACCCGGGTCAATCAGGCCTGCAAAATCCTGCAAAATCCTGCACCCAAACACGGGTCAATGCGAAGGATCCTGCAAGATCCTGCAGGATCCTGCACCCAAACCCGGGTCAATGCGACCCTGGCCATGCAGGATCCTGCAAGATCCGGCGCTCTGGCTGACCCCCGTTTGCACTGACCCCCGTCTCGAGGCTCCCGAAATGCCTGGCCACAGGAACGGCGCGCAGAATACCGGGTGCGGCGGGCGGCAAATTGGCGGCAGAGATCTGGATATCATCGGCGAGACCACGACGGGTCGCCTCAAGCGGCGCCAGCTTCTTGCGCAAAGGACGCAGGAGCAGATCTGAGCACAACGCCAGTAGGGCCCCGACATTAAACAGCCTTGCTTTCTGCAGCGGGTAGTGTCGCTGCCAGGAAATACCTTGCAGCACTTGCTAACATACGCAAGGATGTCGGCATGCGAGAACTCGATCGCCGCGATGAAAGAACTCAGGAACATTCGTCAAAGCTAAAGCATCAATGATCCACTCGCGGCGCAGAGACGGGAGGTCAGCGCAGAGATCCACCAGCAAGAGGCTGGCGCACGGCACCCCTCGGTAGCACGCATACTCGAGAATGTCTGCCTCCGGGCAAACAATGCTGCCAAGCATCGAACGCTTGCGAATGAAACCAGTTTGGGAGCCCAAGACGCTACGTATACTGGCACTGCTGACGATGGGGCTCTCCACGAGGGCAAGGGGCGCGATGTTGTCGTCGGCGCTGCCGAAGGCAATAAGGCGAAGCACCGGGGCCTCACGGGAGATCTCGGAGAGGCCGGCTACGGCGGAGGTGGTCTATTCAGGCGGCAACACCGCGGGGGACTCGTCAGAGCCTTCACGCTGGGGCCCCAGGGCAGGGTCGTTCAAGATGGCCAGGTGCACCCGACCACAGGGCCCCACGAGCACCCTCGCCAGAACAACGCCACGCACTTCGAGGCGCCCCGCAGCGGAGCCCGCAGCGGAGCCCCCGCCCCCCAGAGAGCTCACGAAGGCGAGGTGGTCGAGCTTCCGCTCGATGCCCGCGGCAGCCTCCTGCATCTCAGCCATGAAAATGACATCCGCCGGAAGTCGGTCTAGCAGCGCGAGCCCCCCGGCGCTCGCCCAAGTCGGCAGCGCTCGTCGCCGAACCGGGCGAGACCTCACCAGCGGGGTCGGGGGAGGGGAAAGATCCATCCGTCGTCTTCTCGGAGACACAGCAGACGAAGATGGCGCGACCTCAGCGCTCCGCCATTATCGGGGGCGCCACCTCCTGCCATGCGCTCACGCAGCCCCCGCTGCAAGACAGCGCCAGAGCGCGGCCGCCTCCCGATGGATCTGGGGCGCCCCGAGAGCAACAAACATCAGCATCAACTAGAAGACCACGCGCAGGAATGGCACGAGTGCACGGGCCGACCCCCCTGGCCTTGCCACCGCGGACACCGCGGAGAAAATTCGAATGCACGGGGGGCCTTCTGAGCGTCGGATCTGGGGCCGTACAAGAAAATCCGAGTCGCGATGATGCCCCAGGGGCACAGGGGCACATGAACTGAGCGAATCGCCTCATTAGTTTCACTTTCAAACTCAGGGGCGCTTCTCAATCCAAGAAGGGGTCGCCAGGTTCTGCTTGCCGCCAGGCTTGACTTGCTTCCAGCCAAGAATGCGATCGCTAGGCTGCTCAGGGTCACGCGCGGACTTCGATGACGATTCGTGGGCTGATGCTGCTACGCCGTCTCGGCGTCGGCGGCGTCGTGTTCCCGAGCATGCTGCACTGGCACCTGCGGCGGCTGGAGCAGATGGTGCGGATCTCGCCCTGCCGTCTGCGGAGGCCGCTCCGGTGGAGGCCCTGGTGGTGGACGAGCGCGCGGCCGTGCTCGCACAGGCCCTCGCGCTGGCGACCCGACCCGACAAGGAGTCCTTCTTCGCTGGCTTGGCGGTGGACGACTTGAAGGTGGTCCTCTCGGTGCTGCTCAAGTCGTGAGGCTTGCCTGGCCCACTTGGGCCCCACTGCCGCCTCGTGGTTGGGCCTCTGCTTGCATGCCCCCGGTGCGCAGTGGGTGTTCCCTCGTGTGGCCGTTCCCCGCGTGTTGGCACCACGTGTGAGCCTCTCACGGAAGCTCGGTTGGTGTGCAGACAGGCGGGGCCCTCCGTGTTCAGCGTCGTGGGCACGGACTTCATACTATGTAGGCGCCCTCGGTGCGAGGGGCGACGCGTGCTCTTTCTTTTCCCAAACTGGACCCCCAGCTCCCGCCCCCGCGGTTGCTGGGGGCGCTGCGGTCCGCGCCTCCTCCTCCTCTTCCTCCTCCTCCTCCTCCTCTTCCTCCTCCTCTCCTCTCCCTCCTCTCCTCCTCCTCCTCCTCCTATTCCCTATTCCTATTCCTCCTCCTCCTCCGCCTCCTCCTTCTCCGCCTCCTCCTCCTCCTCCTCCTCCTCCTCCTCCTCCTCCTCCTCCTCCATCCTCCTCCTCCTCCTCCTCCTCCTCCTCCTCTTCGGACTTATCTCTCTGCCCCCCCCCCCGAAGAGACGGGAAAGCTCCTCCAGCAGCGCCCTCCGCCACAGGTCGGTGGAGTACACGCCTGCGCCACCGAGCTCCTCCATCCGCTCGCGTTCAAGCTTCTCCTGGCTGAGGGGGCGTCGTTGCAGTCCACTGCTGCACCTCCTCCTACCACCTCCTTGCTCCTGCTCCTTAGCCCTCCCCTTCCCCCTCCTCCTCCTCCTCCCCCCTTCTGCCCGCCCACCCCCCCCTCCTCGGGCCTCAACCGTCCACCTCCCCCTCCCCCCACCGCCCCTCCCCCGCCCCTCACCGTTCCCCCTCCCCCTCCTCCATCCCTCCTGCCTCCTCCTCCTCCTCCTCCTCCTCCTCCTCCTCCTCCTCCTCCTCCTCCCCTCCTCCTCCTCCTCCTCCTCCTCCTCCTCCTATCTCCTCCCTCCTCCCCCTCTCCATCCCTCCTCCTCCTCCTCCTCCTCCTCCTCCTCCTCCTCCTGCTCCTCCTCCTTCCTTCCTCCTCCTCCTCCTCCTCCTCTCCTCCTCCTCCTCCTCCTCCTAAACAACTCCTCCTCCTCCTCCTCCCTCCTCCTCCTCCTCCTCCTCCTCCTCCTCCTCCTCCTCCTCCTCCTCCCTCCTCCTCTTCCTCACCTCCTCCTCCATCCTCGCCCTTTCCCCCCCTCCCCTCCCCCTCTCCCCATCACCCCTCCCCCCCATCCTCCCCCTCCCCCTCCCCCCGTCCTCCTCCTACTCCCTCTTCCTCCTCCTCCCCCTCCTCCTCTTCCTCCTCCTCCTCCACCTCCTCCTCCTCCTCCTCCTCCTCCTCCTCCTCCTCCTCCTCCCTCCAGCCTACCTCCTCCTGATCATCCTTTTCCTCCCGCCTCCATCCTCCTCCTCCTCCTCCTCCTCCTCCTCCTCCTCCTCCTCCGCCTCCTCCTCCTCCTTTTCCTCTCCTCCTTCTCCTCCTCCTCCTCCTCCTCCTCCTCCTCCTCCTCTTCTCCATTTCGTTTCCTGAAAATCGCCGGTCCGTTCCAACCTCGTGATGTGCCCGAAGATTTCCGTGGCCCCGGCCCCCCCGGCCCCCCCGAGAGCCCCCAAACGACCCCAAACGGCTCCAAAGCACTTTTTATTGGCCCCGGGCCCCCAGAGAGCCTCCAAACGGTCCCAGAACACTTCAGACGAGCCTGCCCGCGGCCACCCGAGGTCCCGGGCCTGCCCAAGACGGCCTTCACACGGCCCAAGATGCCTCCCAAATTGGGCCCCATCACACAAAAATCGTAGCATTCCCCTTGTAAAATTGCTACTTTCTGCACATTCTCTTTTTCCGTTTTCGACGCGCCCACGACAGCCCCTGAGGCTTCCGACACCGTACTGCCCCAGGACGCCCAAGATGACCCCAAGAGGGGCCAAAGACAGCCCACCATGGCCCCAAGAGACCCCAAGACGGCCCAAGAGGCGGCGGCCCCGAGAGGGCCCAAGAGAGAGAGCCCCTACACGGACCAAGAGTGCCCCGAGAGGCCCCCAAAGGGGCCCCAAAAAGCTCCCTAACGGCTCCCCGACGGCCCGCCTCGCTGGATTCGGAGCCTTCGGTAGGAGAGCATCTCCATGACAAGCTTCAAAGGATCTGCTGCAGTAGGTGAAAACGTCGTACCACCCAGCGCGCGCCACAAAACTTCGATCCGCTCAACTCCGTGGATTTAATCCACGGGTCCACACTAATATATACATATATATACACACATACCTATACATATACATATACATATACATATATATATATACATATACATATACACATACATATACATATACATATACATATACATATACATATACATATACATATACATATACATATACATATACATATACATATACATATACATATACATATACATATACATATACATATACATATACATATACAATGGATTCGCCATATTTCTGAAATGCAGCGACACCCCTCATGCAGATCGGCGGGGTCAGGGTCCAAAAACACAAAGGATGTGCCACATTTCTAAAACAAATCGGCGGCACCCCTCACGCAGATCGGCGGGTCAGGGACCAAAAACATACGGGATTCGCTACATTTCTAACATTTGGTGGCACCCCTGACGCAGATTGGCGGGGTCAGGGCGCAAAAACATAAGGATCCGCTACATTTCTGAAATTCGCTGGTACCCCTCACGCAGATCGGCGGCGTCAGGGTCAAAAAACACAAGGGATTCGCCACATTTCTGAAATTCGGCTGCACCCCTCACGCAGATCGGCAGGGTCAGGGTCCAAAAACACAAGGGATTTGCCACATCTCTGAAATTCGGTGGCACCCCTCACGCAGTTCGGCGGGTCCAAAAACACATTGGATTTGCCACATTTCTGAAATTTGGTGACACCCTTCACGCAGATCGGCGGGGTCAGGGTCCAAAAACATAAAGGATGTGCCACATTTCTAAAACAAATCGGCGGCCCCCCTCACGCAGATCGGCGGGTCAGGGACCAAAAACCGAATGGATTCGTTACATTTCTAACATTTGGTGGCACCCCTCACGCAGATCGGCGGGGTCAGGGTGCAAAAACATAAGGATTCGCCACATTTCTGAAATTCGGCTGCACCCCTTACGCAGATCGGCGGCGTCAGGGTCAAAAAACGCAAGGGACTCGCCACGTTTGTAAAATTCGGCTGTACCCCTCACGCAGATCGGCGGCGTCAGGGTCCAAAAACACAAGGGATTTGCCGCAATTCTGAAATTTGGCTGCAGCCCTCACGCAGATCGGCAGTGTCAGGGTCCAAAAACACATTGGATTTGCCACATGTTTGAAATTCGGCGGCACCCCTCACGCAGATCGGCAGGGTCAGGGTCCAAAAACACAAAGGATGTGCCACATTTCGGAAATTCGGCGGCACCCCTCACGCAGATCCGTAGGGTGAGGGTCCAAAAACACAAGGGATTTGCCACATGTTTGAAATCCTGTGGCACCCGTGAAGCGGATCCGTAGGGTCAGGGTCGAAAAACCAACAGGTCCCGACACTGCTTCACGGCGGCGCCCAGACCTCATGATTTAGCTTTTGCATCTCCCATGATCCGAGACAGGGGGCCGGCGGCATGGGGCGAAGCCCTTACGGATATTTGAGGCAACCCGACTTCTATATATATATATATATATATACATATATTTACTATATATATATACACATACACTAGACTGCATTGGCGCTGCGCGCCATGCACCTTGGTCCTTTGTGTTCTGAACGCAAGCGGAATGCGTGCGTGCGTACATGCGCGCATGCATGTGTACACGCGCACGTGCATGCACGTTCCGTATACATGTCTAGGTGTATGCAATATACTTACATTGTTGTATGTGTGTATACAGCGTACATATGTACATATAAATTTATGTGTAAGGGTATGGACATGCATATGCAACTCGTGCGGGGGCATCCTCGGGCATATTCGCTGCATGCCACGAGACCCTCAACGACTGGGTCACAATGTGAAATGTCATGGGGGCAGAATCAATGAATGTTGGCATTCGGAAACATCGTGGGGGTGTTTTCGGGGCCCTCGTGGGTTGTTGGCGCCTTCATGGGCCGTCCTGGGGCCTTCTAGGGCCGTCTTGGGGAGCTTGGGCCCGCTGGAGCCCCCTTTGGACCCATTTTGGGCACTTCCGGGGACCTCCCATGGCCCTTTTGGGTCTGTGCTGGGAGCCCTTGGGGGGCCTCTTGATTCCATTATGGGCTGGCCCGGCTCGGCCGTCTTGAAGCTGTCTTGGGGGCCTTTGGGAGCGTCTTGAGGCGATCTCGGGGGCTTTGACACCGTCTTGTAAGCTGATGAAATCCGAAAGGCGAATATGCTGAAATTGTAAGTTTTACGCAGGGAATGGGACGATTTTTGTGGTTTGAAGGCCCTTTGGGAAGCTTTTTGGGGTGCCTTGGGGGTCTTTATGTTGGCATTCGGAAACATCGTGGGGGTGTTTTCGGGGCCCTCGTGGGTCGTTTTGGCGCCTTCATGGGCCGTCCTGGGGCCTTCTAGGGCCGTCTTGGGGAGCTTGGGCCCGCTGGAGCCCCCTTTGGACCCATTTTGGGCACTTCCCGGGGACCTCCCATGACCCTTGGGTCGGTGCTTGGGAGCCCTTGGGTGGGCCCTCTTGGTTCATTGGGCTGTCTTGGGGCCTTCGTGGGCGAATCGTGGGCCGGCTCGGCGTCTTGAAGCTTTCTTGGAGGCCCTTTGGGGGCGGTTGAGGCGATCTCGGGGGCTTTGAGGGGCTTTGAAGCTGATGAAATCCGAAAAGCGAATATGCTAAAATTGTAAGTTTTACGAAGGGAATGGGGCGATTTTTTGGTATTTTGAAGGCCCTTGGAACGCTTTTTGGGGTGCCTTGAGGGTCCTTATGTTGGCATTCGGAAACATCGTGGGGGTGTTTTCGGGGCCCTCGTGGGCCGTTTTGGCGCCTTCAAGGGTCGTCCTGGGGCCGTCTTGGGCCGTCTTGGGGAGCTTGGGCCCGCTGGAGCCCCTTTGGACCCATCTTGGGCACTTCCGGGGACCTCCCATGGCCCTTTTGGGTCTGTGCTGGGAGCCCTTGGGTGGCCTCTTGGTTCCAATATGGGCTGTCTTGGGGCTCTCGTGGGCGATCGTGGGGCCCGGCTCGGCCGTCTTGAAGCTTTCTCGGAGGCCTTTTGGGGTGTCTGGAGGCGTTCTCGGGGGCTTTGAAACCGTTTTGAAAGCTGATGAAATCCGAAAGGCGAATATGCTAAAATTGTAAGTTTTACGAAGGGAATGGGACGATTTTTGTGGTTTGAAGGCCCCTTGGGAAGCTTTTTGGGGTGCCTTGGGGGTCTTTTGGGCCGTCCTGTCGCAATTGGAGTCCCTCTTGGAGCGCTCTTCTGCTGTCTGGGGCCTCCCTTCAGCCTTTCTGATGACCCCTCGGATCGCTCTCGGTCTGCTGGCAAGGCGTTTGTGGAGACCCGGAAAGCCCGGTGACCTTTTCCAAGGACGTCCAAGGGAGCCCGAGAACCCCAGATCCCGGGGGTCCCGTTTTTTTGGGGGGAAGGGGGTGATGGTTTCCCCCCCCCCCGGGCGTTGCAAAAATATAATAAGAGGATATTATATATATATCCATATTACATACATAC